TGGCCCAGTTGTCCTTCAGTAGGGAGTTGTTCGGTTTCCATGAGTTTGTAGACTTCCAGTTATTTGCAACGTTGAAATCCAGCTTTAATCCATGGTGGGCTGATAGGATGCAAAGAGTTATTTTAGTTTTCTTGCATCTGTTGAGATTTGCTTTGTGACCGAGTATGTGGTCAATTTTGGAAAATGTTCAGGAGGCACTGAGAAGAAGGTATATTCTTTTGTGTTCGGGTGAAATGTTTTGCAGATATTTGTTAGGTTCGTTTGCTTCATAACATCTGTTAGCTCCAGTATTTCTCCATTTAGCTCTGTCTGGATGCCCTGCCCATTGGTGAGAGTGGGATTTTGAAGTCTCCCACTATCGATGTGTGAAGGTCAATGTGTGATTCAAGCTTTCACAGTGTTTCCTTCACAGACAGGAGTGCTCTTGCACTTGGGGCATAGATGTTAAGAATTGAAAGATCATCTTTGTGGATTTTCCCTTTAATGAATATGAAGTGTTTTTCTCTGCCTCTTTTAATTAATTTTTGTTTGAAGACTATTTTGTTAATTATTAGAATAGCTACAGCAGCTTGTTACTTAGATCTAATTTGATTGGAAAATACTTTTCTATCCCTTTACCCTGAGATAACATCTATCTTCGATGTTGAGGTGGGTTTCTGGTATATGTAGCAGAAGAATGGATCCTGGTTTTGCACCCATTCTGTTACTTTGTGTTTTTTTATTGTGGAATTGAGTCCACTGATATTGAGAAATAGCAATGACCAATGGTTGTTAATTTATTTCGTTGTAGTTGTTGGTTTGGTGATGGTTGTGTGTGTGTGTGTGTGTGTGTTCTTTGGGTTAGAGCAGTATAAGATTATTTATTTCCTGTGTTTTCATGAGTAGAGTTAATCTCCTGAGTTGGAGGTTTCCTTCTAGTACCTTCTGTAAGACCAGATTTGTGACTAAATTGTTTAAATTTGACTTTATCATGGAATATCTTGTTTTCTCCTTCTATGGTGTTTGAAAGTTTTGCTGGTATAGCATTCTGGGATGGCATCCATGGTCTTTTAGAATCTATAGGACATCTGTCCAGGCTGTTCTGGGTTTTAGAGTCTCCATTGAGAAGTCATGTTTAATTCTGATAGGTCTGCTTTTATATGTTACTTGGTCTTTTTGCTTTGCAGGTTTTAATATTCTTTCTTTGTTCTATATGTTTAATGTTTTGATTATTATGGCAAGGGGAACTTTCTTTTTTGTTCCAATCTATTTGGTGTCCTACATGCTTCCTGTACTTTTATAGACATGTCCTTCTTTAGGTTAAGACAATTTTCTTGTATGATTTTGTTGAAATATGTTCTGGGTCTTTCAGCTGAGATTTGTCTCCTTCTTCTATTCCTATTATTCTTAGGATAATTCCTATTGGTCTTTTCATGGTGTCTCAGATTTCCTAGATGTTTTGTGTCAGGAAGCTTTTAGATTTAACATTTTATTTGACCAGTGTATCTATTTATTCTATCGTATCTTCGACTCCTGAGATTCTCTTGTCCATGTCTTGTATTCTGTTGGTGATGCTTGCATCTGTATTTCCTGTTCACTTACCTAATGTAGGAGGTTCTTTTGTTCATTTGTTCCTTTAATTGGGTAATAAATAAAGAAATTGCTTTAGGCCTGACAGGGCAGAACTTAGGTAGGTGGAGAAGACAGAACTGAATGCTGAAAAGAAGGGCAAAGCGGGAGATGCCTTGGACCTTCTGCCTGAGACGGACGCAGGTTAGATTCTTGCCAGTAAGCCACAGTCACATGGCAATACACAGATTAAATTAAGATGTAAAAATTAGCCAATAAGAAACTAGAGCTAATGGCCAAGCAGTGTTTTAATTAATACGGTTTCTGAGTGGTTATTTTGGGGGCTAAGCTAGCCAGGCAGCAGGGATAAACAAGGGGCCCCACTCCTTGTAACACTTACCCAGATTTTCCTTTTCCAGAATTCCCTTGGTTTGTGTTTTCTTTATTGCTTCTGTTTTCATTTTCAAGTCTTGAACAGTTTTATTAGTTTTCTTCATCTGTCTGTTTTTGCTTGGCTTTCTTTAAGAGAAAATTTTTCTTAAAAATTTCTCTTTCTTTAAGAGAAAATTCTCTTTCTTTAAGAGAAAAATTCACTTATTCCATTTTTTTGGTTGTATTTTCCAGGATTACTTTAAGGGATTTATTCATTTCCTCTTTAAGGACCTCTAGCATCTTCCTCAAGTTGGTTTTAGGTATATCCTTGTGCTTCAACTATGTAGGAATATTCAGGGTTTGCTGTAGTAGGTTGCTGGGCTCTTGTGGTGACATGTTGCCTTGGCTTTTATTGAATATGTTCTTACATTGGCATCTAGACACCTGGGGTTGGGGTGATTGTAGGTCTAGGTGCCGCTTTCTGAGTTTGTCTTTGTTGGGTGGGTGTTTTGATTCTTGGTTTCTGGTCTTCTGGCTGGAGTCCCCACCCACGTTGGCCTCTGACCAAGCAAGGGGGATTCCACTCAAGCTGGGAGCCAGAGTTCCGGCTGCCAGTGTGGCTTCTGGTCCAGCCAAGAGTCCTCTGCTGGAGTTGGAGGCTAGGCTATGGGGACAGAGAAGAAGACGGTTGGGTGTTAGCTGGGCAAGCACTGAGGGACAGGGGGCGGTCTGTGAGGGAGAGCTTATCTGGAGTTCTGTCTAATATTTTTTAATATAGAAAATTTCAGAGAATGGCAGCGGGTTCAGCGAACACTATGTGTGAGCCCCACAGTCTCTACCATTAGCACTAACATTACCATCACTCTTGCTCTGGGAATACACCCCCTCCCCATCCCTCTGCTCTGATTGTTTCAAAGCAGACTCCAGAATCACGTGATTTCATCGGGAAATAGTTCAATCTATACCTCTAAGATCACACTCGTCCTTAAGTGAAAACTCAACACTACTGTCAGATTCAAATACAATGCTATCACACTATTGCCAGAAATAACCGGCTTTCACATTTCCCCCAGTTAGCCATGGATGCTCACTGTTTATTTGGCTCACTTTCCCACTGAGCCCAGACACCGTCATTAACCATTATCTCTTTTCACTGCCTTTGAAGTTTTGCTCCCTCTCCATTTTCAGCTAATATTTTCCCTTACAATCTTTGGTGCAGATAGGGTCAACTATTCAGCGTTGTCATTGGTTTGGGTTTTTAACCTATCAGTCTAAATCATACCCTCGTCTTAATGACTGAAAACAAGTGTCTCTATTTTGAGAACTAAACATGCATCTTTCTGGACGCCATCCCTGAAACTCCACCTAGTGTCAAGGCAAGAGCACCTCCCATCGGCGCAACACCATATATTTATTTGCTAAGTATTGTGAATCCATCCTCTCACTTTTTGTCAGTCTCATAATAGCCTTGAAAGGGCTGACATGCTTATCTCATTTCACACGTGTAAAACTAGGGGAGAGTTAAAAGAAAGGTGTCTGAACACGTTTCACGTGACCCCATTGTCCTGGAACAATAGTAGTGGACGCTCTGATCTTTCCGTCACACAGCATGTACTGTGTGCCCCTGGCTGGAATATTCTGAGGCACCAGAGAGAATGAGAAGGCTATGACCCTACTTTTAAAGAACTTAAACTCTAGTCAGGTACATACCAGGCAGGGGGAACATACACGGTGCAGGGCATTTAAGACATCTGGAGGCAAATGATTTTCTAAGAGTAGCATCGTGTGAGCAGACAGCCTGTGCTGAGCGGTGACCGGGACTCCCGCAGGGTGAGCGTATAAAACATGGCGTGCAAGGGAAGAAATGTCTAGCTCACTCCCTGCCCTGCTTACTTTTGAGATCACAGTAACCAGAGATCACATCTCTGCATTTTTGGATGAATGTAACTGTGTCGGTGAACACTTAGTCTTTAGTCCCAATCCTTCCCAGACCTTCCTGTCTACTTCACCTCCCTGTGGCTAACAAGATAGTTCCATGCAGCATGCTGACGCTTGCTCCAAAATCCAAAACTTTTGAGACTTTACTTACGTCATAAGTGTAAATTTTCACGTCTGACCTCATGTGTTAGATTGCAATCAAATTGGGATACACTAAAAATATAACCTAAAATTTCCTGAAGGCTATGTATGGAAAATATGTGAGAAATATTATATAATATAATATTGAATTTAGAATTAGATAATGTCCCCTTCCCTAAAATATCTGATTATTTATATGAAATACTTCCTAATACAAAAAATTCCACGAATCTGAACCGTTCCTGGTTCCTAGCATTTGGGATAAAGGGTGATTCAGAAAAGTCAACATCTTGAATGTCCCGTGGCTGCTGCAGCAGCAACTGCTTCGTGTCATTATTACATAGGACAGGGTCATTACAATTAAATGCATACAGCAGTATCTGCTGCCTAAGAAATGTCATATGTAAATATTCACTAATAAAAGAAAATGAAGAGAAATAATTTATCAAATGCTTTCTACCTTTTCAGACCTATCGATTACCATAGCCATTAATCCTTATGATCCCTTAGAAGAAATACTACAGTTTCCATCTTACGGATAGTGTGACTGACCCCAGAAGGAGAATAACTTCCTTGCTATCCCAGATGCGGTCGCGCACACCAAGATGGCAGCGTGCCTGACTCTGCACTTGTCTGTGCAGTGGAGGCAAAAGTCCCGCTCGAATTTTGGTGCCTCCGCCCACCCAGCCGCTGGGTTTTTAAGTTGTGTCCAGGTGACACCGAGAGACATGCATGCTCTCCGGGGAGTCCCACTTGTGACCTGGATCTCATGTGCCACAGAGTCACTGCTCAGAAGGGTCGAAAACCCAGGGGGCTTCACTCTTCTCCCTTGCTTCACCTCTTCCCTAAAGAAGTCATAAGCTGTCCCTTAGAGGGCTAGCTGTCTGTAACGGCCCATGCCCCGATGTTGCCAAGATCTAGGCTAAAAATGGGCGTAGTAGAATATCAACCGTACTGATTCCTGGAAGGCACCTTGGGCCTAACCTGTGTGTTTCTTGCAGTCATGTTTCGTCTCTACGACTCTGATGAAAACGGACTCCTAGACCAAGCGGTAAGCTTTCACTTCAACAAAGCCCTGGGGAAAGTAGGGGTGTAGTGACAGTGATGGGAGCATCCAGTCACCCCAGTTCCATCCCTACAGGAACTGCAGGTCTGGCTAAGGGATACAGACCATGAACAAACTTCCTGCCTGCTGTTTCCCATGAGTCAGCCTGTAGAGCACAGAGTCCAATGTTCCTTCTTCCAGAACGAGAAGCCTGGAACTACACAATATCAGGATAGGGAGATATTTTCTATTTTCATCAAATGTAACTTCCCTTGAAATTTCCTGCTGGGACCCAGGGGTCAAGAGTGGGGGAGCAGAGAAGCAACAAGACAGGGCAAGAAGAGAAGAGGAAGGTTACTGGCGAGCTTCCTATCTACCCAAGCTTAGGAGCCCACTTGGCCCTGTCTGTTCCGAACCCTGTGCCCACACCTCACCCCTTCAGCAGGAGGCAAGAACAGGTCAGGACCAGAGAGCAAGAGGAGGGCTAGAGAGAGAAAAGTCCAAGAAAGAAGGAGGCCCTGGATCCAAACCTGGTGGTCATGATTGACTGCAAGGGCTTCCAAACAGTAAGGATCTCAGATTGAAGTGTGTATGGCTAACTGAAATCAGAAAAGAAAAGGAAGGAAAAAGAGAGGGAGGGAGGGATAAGGGAGAAAATGAAAGAGGGACAGAGGGACAGGGGAAATAAGTCCACTAGGTCAACGAGCCATGCCAACTCTCCCTACCCTGGCATCCTGTGGCCTCTCCAACACTGTTGCGTTGATGGGGGTTGTGGTCTTCAACCTGGCAGACCACAAGCATCCATTTACTGAGGGTTTACAATGTCTGGTGCTACTCAGGGAGCCGAGGATGCGTTATCGTGACCAAATGACAGCATCCTGTCCCCTCGTGCAGCTTCCATTCTAGTCTAGGTATCACTACACAGCATCGGATACCTGTGGATCTGGGCACGGTGAAGCACACCCAAAATCCCAGTGTTCAGGAAGCCAGGGCAGGAGAATCATTCGTACCTGTCTCAAAATAAAAGGGGATAGGAATAGGGCTGGGAATATAGCTCAGTCAGAGAGCATTTGCCTCGCCTAAGACTTCAGTTCAGTCCCAGCTCTGCAAAAAGTAAAACCGTACGGTAGAAAATACATATGCATAGACTTCCATGCATATTGGGTAGACGTCTGTTAAGAAGAAAAACAAAGGAAGTAGGAAACATTGGAGGGAGTTGCTGCCTTCAGAAGGGTTGTCAAGAAAGGCCTCTCTGGGGAAGGACATCAGAACAGAGACTTGGAGAAGGTGACGTCTCGGGAAAGAGCCCTCTAGGTAGAGGACATTGAGTGCAAATCCTGATGCATTCCCCAAGATGCTGGAGGATGCAGTGGAAACCGGGCTAGCTAGAGAAGAGCAAGTGAGCAAAAAAGAAGCCAGAATGAAGGACCAATGGGAGCACAGATGGTGTGTGTGAGTGGGGGCAGGGCGCCAGCACGTGAAGTTTCCCTTAACCTCAAGAGAAATGAGGAGACATCCAAGGTTAGGGACAGAAGCGACGTATTTGGACATCTCGGGCATCATTCTAGAGACCACATCAAGTAGGCCACAAGCAGGTCCACCAGACAGAGACCTAAGGAAGCAATCAGGGCACAGACCTGCAGGTGGAACAGAGTATTTCAAGTGGTAACCAATTCAATCCGGAACATATTTTAAGATAAAACTGGCCGACAGACACACGTCTCAAATGAGTCCTCTGACTCGACTTCACCCCTGGAATCCCTGGCTGGTGAGGTCCCAGCTCCTTTGTGAACAATCCCAGTGGCAAAGAAGTCATGTCTCCACCACAGGTGTGCCACTGCTGGGAACGAGCTGGACAGGGCTTCCCGCCTGCTTGTGTGGCATGAGTTTGCTGACCAACACTCAGTACGCTGTTCTGCCCTCCTTCCCCAACCCCTTCACATTGTCCCTTCCCTGCATCCCTCAGCTTCCTGCTGCCCTCTGCTGCTAACCAGAACCAGGGAGATACAAACTGCACAATGACCTTGAGTGTTTAAAAGTTCCATCACACACCTTACACAAAATCTCCTCCAAACCAAAGGGTCCCCGTTCTCCACTGTTCCTCCTTAGCTGCTTTAAACACCCACACTGGACAAGCTCAGCTTGTCGGCACCGTTATCAAAACACAGCATACAATGGAACCTGTCCATCCATTGCTTTACAGATGTGGCTCGGCCAGGGTAGGTGGGGACCTACTTTTTCCTGAAGCTAGACCACTCTACTGAGTCTAATTCTCAGTTCCCAAGCCACGTTATCTCACAGAACCCTGGACCCCAGCAGACTCACGCACTTTTCCATTAAAACGTCCTGCCCGCTTCACTGCGCTCATCCACTGCCCATCCTGTGGTTTGGCTGGAGGTCACTGTTTCCCTTTGAGTAAAGTACTGTTTGTTCACATGCAAGAGGCTGGAGCAAGCGGATCACCAGTTCATGTCCAGCATGAGATGGAAGAGGAGAAGAATAGAGGGGCGGGGGAGAGAGTGAGACATAGTGAGAGGATATATATCTGGGTCAGGGGCTGCAGAGATGACGCAGAGGTTAAAGATGAATGCTGTTCTTACAGAAGAGCCAAGTTCAGCTCCTCGCTTTCATGTTGGGCAGCTTACAGTCACCTGTAACTGCAGCTCCAGGAGATCTCATGCCCTTTTCTGGCCTCTGTAGGCACCTGTGTTCACATGCATATCACCCCCCCACACACACACATTAAATATAAAATGTGTCTTTAAAAGCTAATGGCTGTTGGGCTTGGCTTGCTGGACTTAGCTTTAAATTCTGCATGATGGAAGTAAGACTTTCCAATCTTCAGCGTGCCCACATCATCTCCTAGAACAATCTCACTGTGCACATCTTAGGTAGGATCCATACAAAAGACACTAACTGACACCAGATACTTCGCCAGCACAGTGCAGTGTTTCCATGGCTCCCTCTAGACACCGACTTGCCAGCATCTGGCATGTTGGTAACATGTTAAGTAGAGACAGGCCTTGGTGCCAAAGGGGTAATCCATCAGGCAAACAAGCCCTTAAAAGCCTCCTGTTCACCAAATTCTAGGCTCAGGGTTGAGTAGAATACAAAGGAAAGAGGAGATGCTGAAATAAATCTAAATCAGTGTTTGAGCCAAGACCAACACAGGACGTGAACCTGACTCCAAAGGCAGACAGACAGAGCCCTATCTGCTGAGGTGTGGGAATAGAGAGTAAGTGATAAGAACAGCAAAGAGAGGCCTGTCTTCATCTGCATTCACAGAACTTACAGGAGAAAAGGAAGGGAGGGACAGAGGAGGGAGGAAGAGAAGGAAGGAGGGAGGGAGGGAGGGACAGAGGAGGGAGGAAGTGAGGAAGGAAGGAAAGAGAGAAAGGAAGGAAAGAGAAAGAAAGAAAGAGAGAGAGAAAGAAAGAGGGAGGGAGGGAGGAAGAAAGAAAGAAAGAAAGAGGGAAGGAGGGAGGGAGGGAGGGATAAAAAAAGAGAAAACAAAATTCAAGATTCCCTGTGGTTTTCGGGTCAAAGGACAGAATGGTGGGAGGAGGGAGAGGCTTGGAGTCAGTGCTCCAGGTGCTCTGCGCGGCTCTGGTTTACATAAGCTCCGTAAGCATCCACTAGCCAGTGGCCTTTGTGGTCAAGAGAAAACCGCTGCCCTTGTGGGATGGTAGTATGTCACACTCGTCTCCCCCTCCCCCGCCCCGCCCGCCTTCCCATCAGTTTTGATTTTGAGTTTTGCTCTTATTTTGATTAAAACAAAAACGACAACTTTGGTTTTCTTCCGTTGATGATTTCTCTCCTGGTATTTTCTAGGAGATGGATCAGATTGTGAACCAAATGCTACATATTGCGCAGTACCTGGAGTGGGACCCCACGGAGCTCAGGCCTGTGAGTTTCTATAAGCACAGTTGACTCCAGGGGGAGCCTCCTTGAGAGAGAGTGGGGCACACCGGGGATGTGGGTGCAATGGTTAGCTGTGTGCTGTGCGGTGCCCCCAGACTGCCTCCCCAGCAGCTTCTTTGGAGCCCTATGCTTGGACCCCCATTTCTCCAACAGGGAAGATACTTAAGGCAGCAGAAGGAAGTGTAGACACGGGAGAAATCACAGTTCCCCCAACCTTCCCACCAGAGACAGTTTTCTGACAGAAATTCACAGAGGTTAGAGCCTCAAACAGTTTGGGGGGAAGTTGTCAATCATCGGCTGTGAGTGTTAACCGCACTGACGGGCACCGTGTACCAGGTGTTAGATTAAACCTTTTTCACGCATTTCTGTAAACACAGCGGTATTATTTCTGTTTGAAGATGAGCGACCTAGAGCCCAGAGAGCTAGCGTGAGCCACCTAAGATCAGGGCAGGGCAGAGTTGGACTTAGAACCCCAATGTCTCCGCTGGCCCTTTGTCACTTTGATCACTCTAAGAAGGGAACCAGGTGAAACGGAAACTGTAAGACAAGAGCAGAGAGAACACTGAGAGCAGAGGCATCCGGAAAAGGGTGGGAATGAACCATTGTCCTTCACATTTCACAGATCCTGAAGGAGATGTTGCAAGGAATGGACTACGACAAGGATGGCTTTGTGTCTCTACAGGAGTGGGTCCATGGGGGGATGACCACCATCCCATTGCTGGTCCTCCTGGGAATGGACGACTCTGTAAGTCAGTACACTCAAGTTCAATGTCTGGGCTCTATATCGTTGCCAGTGTCTGCTCCAGACTTCCTGATAGGCAAGCCACGCACTCCAGGCTGGCTCTGGGGTGCTCTGTATTTTTTTTCCTTTTCACTTGCTCATGCCCAAAATACATTCTTTCACCTGGAAACACTTTGATATGCTGTTATTAAGGGAAAATTTATGTTGTGCACACTGTAAAGGAACACAGCATTTGCCTGCAAGACACATACTCAACCAGGCCAAGTGCGGAAGAAACGTCAAGGAGAATCTCATGTTTCATCAAGTTGGGTTGTAAGATGCTAGGAAAGGAACCAGTCAGAGGGCACCAGCCACCAAGTCTGATAGCCTGAGTTCGATTCCCAGAACCCATATGGGGAAAGAAAAGAATAAGCTTCCTTGTCATCTGCCCTCTACACGCCATGACACAAACGCTCACCCTCTGCAATAAGTAAGCGTAATGTAAAAATTTTAAATTCAAGGAATTGGCAAAGGAAGGAAGGGAGCAGGGGAATAGTGATCTGCTGAGGGGCTTTCATGACTGGACTCTGGTTTAGCAATCAAAACAGATAAGGTAGATCTTTCTACCCCATTTTGTATAGATGGAAAACCGAGGTTCTGAGCAGAAGAGGAGTTAGGTTTTGCACCTCACTCCAAATTCCCCACACTTTCCAACACCCTACACCTTGGTCAGAGCAGGAAGGAGAAACTTGGAGGGCATTTGATGTATCCCTAAAGAATAAGCAAGATCTTGATACCTTATTCTGTCTTCTATTTTGTGGGCGTGTGTGTGTGCATGCATATGTGCGTGTGTGTGTGTGTGTGTGTGTGTGTGTGTGTGTGTGTGTGTTGAACCAAACGCCTCACACATGCTAGGCGAGCACTCCCCCTGGTTTATATCCCCACCTCCCCTTTTTACTTCTCATTTTTGAATCAGCTCACTCCATGGCACAGGCTGGCCTCAGACTTGCTCTGGAGCCCAGGCAGGTCTTGTCGATTGAACTTGTGGTCCTCCTGATTCAGTGTCCAGAGTAGCTAGGTTTACAGGCCTGCACAATAGGCCAGGCTTGAAAACACGTTCTGGCTCTTAGGGTCCGTGATGTGTCTGGAAGAGTTCTCTGTGAGTCCGGCTCTTCTGGTCTACAAATGGTCAGGGGTGCAGGACTGGTTTAAGGGCACACATCTGAGCAGAGGCCCAACTGCCACACTCAGTTACTTGGGGACCTTCATGCAGTGACCTCTTGCTGAGGGTCTACACATATGAGAACCCACAAGAACCCCAAGAAGCAGGACAGGCTGTTGTCATCACTCACTAGGCCCTGGATCAAAAGAGGAGCTCAGCTTGGTTGCTATCCTGACACAGTGTTGCTGGTTTGGTTTGTTCTCTTTTGAAGGAACAAAACTGAGATATTTTAAGCACAAGGAACCAATTTCTGTTCTCCTCCCTGCATTGACCATGCTAATGTTCAAAGTCCCACTGACATCTTGTGTGGAAAGAGCCCACGTTTGTGGAAGCAGCAGGTAAAGCCTGTGTATTTCTTCAGCATCCTTTCCAGCATCCCCTTCAAATCAGCCTTGAATAAAACTAGAATTCACTTTACAAAACATGGGAAACAAAAAATAAATGTAATTTTATTGATATTAATCAAAATCCTTTTAAATCAATTTTAAGTGTAGGCTAAACAAGTTCTTTCATGAGCAACATCCAGGCTTCTAGAGGAAGCCCATCAACGTCTTGTATGACCTGCTGCTTTCCTGCCAAAGTTCTCACACAGATGACCTCTGAGAACACAGAGCAGGCAAATGCAGCAATGGGGCAAAACCTACCCAGAAATGAGCAAGCCACACGATGGCGCTATAACCTAAGCAGAAGCTTTATTTAAGCCCCTTGGTGCATTTGCTTCTTCGAGCTGAGGGTTTGGGGGGAAGGGTACACGGCTTAGATAACAGAGGTGTTTGCTGATAAAATGAAGGTCCTTTAGTTCATGAATAAGCAGATCTGTTGACAGGGTGTTGAGTTTCCTTCTGCCCAGGGAAACCCTTGTAGAAGGTGGTAGAAAAAGGCATACATTGACTACTGCCTGTCACTCATTCCTCCTGTGGCACTGGCCCTAGTTACAGAATTCCTGAATGCTTTTTGTTTTTTGTTTTGTTGTTGTTGTTGTTGTTGTTGTTGTTGTTGTATTTCAATCTGTATACTAGTAACAGACTTACCACTCTTCCACAACTTTCATACCCCCCAATATTTTGTACAGACTAGGATCTGTCAGGGGACTAGAATAACATTTATGATCACCATCGTAATCATCATCATCATCACTGCAAGTCCTAGGGGCAGATATCTGCCAAAGGGATAAGTCAGCTGGTCTTCTTTGTGAATTGCTAACCACCCGCAAATCTGCATCCTGAAGTGGAAACCCTTGGATAAAGGGACCTTAAGTCGGTACAACTCAGGTCTTGAAAAGGGTCCTGAAGAACATAGGATACAAAAGTCAAGGGAATAGATAAGAATTTGACAAAGAACGTGGACTCCAAGGACCACAATCTAGGTCCAACAGCAGGGCTAAGCACAGCAATCAGTCCAACAGCACAGACACACAGATGTTAGGACTGGACTCCATGCCCCCGGCCACACAACCAAGGATAAGTTTACAAGCGTAGTTTTCACTGCCCTTCAGACCACACCCAGTGCTGCTCAGGATGGAACCCTGGGAAAGATTCAGCAGGAGAGATGCTCCCAAAGCCAGACTCAAGCCAGGGGGTGTACCAGGAGCTGGGACATGGAACTTGACATGTCAAGGAAGAAGTGACCACGTGAGGCATGGCTCACACATGTGACTGAGGAGAGTTTTGCCCCTGAGCAGCTCAAGAAAAAACATTCACTCCCTCTCTATGTCTCACTTTAGAATTGTTGTTGCTATAGTTACATGTATGTTTTACATGGAGTGGGGCTTTCACCACACATGGTGTGCATGCATGGAGAGGTCTGAGGATGACAACCTTCAAGAGTTACCCTTTCGGTGCATCCTGTTGAACTCAGGTTATCAACCGCCTCTACCCACGGAGCCATCTCATCACCAGCCCTCACCTTAGTGTTTTATCTGTTTGCAGAAACTTGGTATAAGCATGCCCGTAGTGTGTGTGTGTGTGTGTGTGTGTGTGTGTGAGAGAGAGAGAGACCGTGTGTTTGTGTGACTATGTGTGTGTGATTGTTTGTGTATGTGTGTGTAAGAAAAATGTTTATATACATAAAATAAAATAAATCTAAAAATTTTTAAGTTGGTATAAGAAGTATATTATTAGCCAGGTGGTAGTAGTGCATGCCTTTAAACACAGCACTTGGGAAGCAGAAGCAGGTGAATCTCTCGAGTTCGAATCCAGCCTGGTCAACAGAGCAAGTTCTAGAATAGCCAGAGCTACACAGAGAAACCCTGTCTCAAAAATAAAAAAAAAAAAAGTACATTGTTTTTACTAAGCCAATTGTTCTTAATTATGCTAGTCTATACTCACCGGAGAAATTTCAGAAAATATAAAAGAAATCAGAAATTAAAGAGAGAGAAAACAAATGCACAGTCTTCCAGATACAGCTAACTTTGGTTAACAGGTACATGAAATCTTTTACCATTAGATATATTTAAATATATTTTTTGTTTGCTTGCATGTTTATTTGTTTTTTTAAGATTAAGACAGGGTCTCTCTACACAGCCCTGATGTTCTGCGTGTCACTATGTAGACCAGGATGGCCTCAAACTCAGAGATCCATCTGCCTCTGCCTCTCAACACTAGGATAAAGGCATGTGCCACCACATCCAGCTTCCCATTAGTCTTATATCTACAGCTAGAGTCATAAAACCCTATCATATCTGCAATTTTAGCAATTTGGGAACCATTAGTGTATCTTTAGCTCTTCACTATTTGAAATAATGTTGCATCTGACCAGCACAGAAATGCTCATCTGTTTTCTCAAAAACAGTTTTCTGTAGACTGAAGCCCAAGGAGGGATGCTGGCAAGTCAAACATTGCAATTATTAAAGACTCTTCAGATAGACAGGTGAGATAGATAGATAGATAGATAGATAGATAGATAGATAGATAGATAGATAGATATACAAGTCGATAGGCAGATAAATAGGCAGATAGATAGGCAGGCAGGCAGACACACCAAGTTGCTCTTCCATTTATCCCTCAGGAATCCAGGTCTGAGAGGGTTTATTTAGCTCCTCTCCCACCTCCATTCAGATGTTCTCTTCTTTTGTGTATGCTAATTTTAGAAAACGCACACTAAGAATTTGTTAACGACTGTGAAACTTCTCTTCCAAGTTTAAGAAGAGAACATTACTGAGAGAAAAGGAAGTACCAGCTTGAGGCAGTCTCTGATTTCCGGGTGGGGTACCAGCTCCACAGCTCACTGCCATTACCTCTGTAGGGCTCCATGGGGGACGGAAGGCATGCCTGGACCCTGAAGCATTTCAAGAAGCCCACGTACTGCAACTTCTGCCACATCATGCTGATGGGTGTCCGGAAGCAAGGCCTGAGCTGCATTTGTGAGTAACCATCCTCCAGGTCTTTGCCCGCGGGCTCTGTCTGCTTGGCACACAGTTAGTTGGTCCATTCCAGGGACAGTCTAGGCATTTATTTCCCAGATGGTGGGATCACCCCTCATGTTTCCACAGCAAGGCCTCTGTGCCCTGCTCTGGGTCTAGCTGAGTCAAATGGACAAGATGTTTGCTGCGGCTGGAGTCCCAGACCACTGGTCTCCTAGGAAAAAGTATTAGAGTTCTTACACAAGTTAAAAGCATCCCGTGCTAACTGCAGTTGTGTTTCTAGCCAATGTTCATTTCGTGTGTGCTTAGGGGTGCTTTCTAATTAGTTGAGAACACACTCTATATTCTAGAAGTGCAATGAAAAATGAAATTGTGTGTTTACTTCATTTTCTAATCCATTTAGTAAAACTGGAGGGAAGGCAGAAACATAAGCACAAATGAGCGATTAGATCCGGACTAAGAAGGTGAACACAGAAAGAAACAGAGGGAAGGGGAGAGGAAGAGGCAATTTGGGAAAATGGGGAAAGAGCAAGAGGAGATGCAACAAAAGCCAGAAGCTTCAGGGGGGCAGCAAATGTGGGTGCACTGAGCCCTGCTAGCCACCTCGTGGCCAGATAGCAGACACCAACCGGACTCCAGGGAGTGGGCAGGCTGAAGAACAGGTCCGCCCACTCTGCATCAGCTCATCAACATGTTCTCATTCCTGCTAAGTGTGAGACCTCTGCTCCTTTGCTGTTTGCATAATCACAGTTACAGTGACAGTGACAAAATGTGGAATTGCCTAATCTGATCCTGCACGTGGTGCCTCACACAAATGTCCCACTTCACACTGCAAAGTCCCTTCCCAGAAAGAGAAAAGGAAGCCACTGCGGGCACATCGACAGAGGAGTCTGAAGTTCTTTCTTTCTTTTCTTTTCTTTATTTCTTTTTCTTTGTTATTGTTGTTATCATTTTTTGTTGTTGTTTTTTGTTTGTTTGTTTTTTTTATAGCAACAGGGTTTCTCTGTGTAGTCTTGGCTGCCCTGGAACTCACTCTGTAGACCCAGGCTGGCCTTGAACTCACAGAAATCCACCTGCCTCTCCTTCCCAAATACTGGGATTGAAGGCGTGCGCCACCACCGCCCAGTCCATCCTGGGCAAAACAGTTACTCAAGGTGCTGTGGTGTCCAATAGCGTCCATCAGCCCAGTGACCATGGCCTTTCTGTCACTCATTGTTGGCATCCTGACATACAATGGCATCTGCTTCTCACTGCTCCTTCTGACGTCACTTTGCTTCATGGAGAAAGTGGAAGTGTCAGGGAAGAACTTCTCAGAGAATACTAGCAGTGTTAGAGTTCTGCTAGGCCAGGCCAACTCCATATGTCACTTTTCCTCACTGACCGTCACCCAGAAGGAGAAACAAGCCTTCACTGAAGTGTGTGCACCGGGGAGGGGGCTGTATCTTCCCTTGGTGGCGTTCATAAGCACAGTCTTTTCTCTTTTTTTCCAGACTGTAAATACACTGTCCACCAACGCTGTGTGTCCAAAAACATTCCTGGATGTGTGAAAACATACTCAAAATCCAAAAGGAGTGGCGAGGTTGGTGACACCTATTGGCTCATTCTACTGCATGCTGCCTCGGGGACAACATGGCCATCATCACAGATTCCTATGCAGGAAGGGGCTCTGAGAGATTTCTCTAGTTCCTTCTCTGTCTCAAAGACCACCCCTAAGCCATCCCACTCATTCATCAATCCATTCAGCATCTCCCTGAGGCCCACTGCATGCCAGGCGCTGTACCAGGGCATCCGCAGGTTCTGAGAAGTGGTATCCAGTCCGCTCAAATGCTGCCCAGATTACAGAGGATAGACAGGCATGTGCAAATAGTGCAAATACATAGTCGTGAGGCATGTGCTATCATAATAGGGCCGTGTGGAGTGTGCAGCTGAGGCTCGAAAGAAAAGCTCTTCAAAGGAGGTGCTGCTGGCTTTGTTCGTGAAACCAGGAGAGCTTTGCAGGGCACAGAAGAGGGCCAAGCAATTCTAGCAGAAGGGGGCTCCTGTGTACAGACATGGAGACGCGTGTGACTGCGGCTTGGACTTGGTTAGAGGTTAGAAATGGCTGGGTCAGATGATTACAGGGGAGAACAAGGAGCCTCATAAGGTGATGAGGCCTGATGTGATAAGGGTTTGGGAGACCAGCTCCAGAATTAGAAAGCAGTGGAGGGTCGGGGAGACACTTCAGACATGAAGAGATGGTGAATTTGTTAATTATGTGACTCTTTCTGAGGCTGGTGTAGGAGAGAAGCCAGGGAGAAGAGCGTTCTTCCAGCAGTTACAGCAGAAGAGGTGCTGCCCCAAGGCTAGAGCCCGGCTGGCTCTGTTTACATCCACCCTTTCAGGACTGGTTGTGTCTGAGTGCCCCGACAGACTTCACTAATAAAGCAGAGAAGATAAGGGAAGGAAGGAGTTTGCCAGGCAGCTGAGAGTTGCAGACCCAGGACTTAGGCATGTGGGTGCAGAGGAGGAGAGGGCAGGCTGTGAGAATGGCTCCCCGCGCTCCTTTGGCTGTTGGGTGGTGCCATTTGCTGAGTCTGTAATTAGATCGCTCTTAAACCCAGGGGAAGATTATCCGCATTGCTGCAGAGGGTCGATGTAGTTGAAGAATGTGAGTCAGGAGATGGTGAAAAGGTGGGAGGCTCACAGCCCTCCCCCCCCACCCAGAAGGCCTCCGGGGAGGACGTGCCTCAGACCTCAGAGGGCTCCTCAGACCTCAGACTCCTCATATGCATGCCCCATAGCATGACCCTCGTCCCCTCCCCAACACCGCTCATACACACCCCTCCATATCCATGCCTGGCTCCCATCAGAACACACAGCGGGCCTCCTATGCTCGGGCCTTTGCCCGTACTCTAGTCATCCGACCCAGAGAACAGGGTGACTCTCCTGAGGGGCCAGCAGAGCACACCACAGCCTTGTGAGCCTGCAGGGACACCCCAAATCTCCCACCACTTCTTCTGACCCCAGACAGGCTGGAAAAAAAAAAACATGGTACTCAGACAACAACCCTGGGGCTTAAGTCAAAAGACCCTCCTCGTGGGTCTCTATGGGTCCCTACTCACCAGCCTTAGAATCCGAGGGCAGTCACTTACCTCCCTGAAGCCTCAACGTGTCCCTCTGCAAAACGGAAACAACAATCTCAGGGCATATTCAGTGTGACCGTGTAGATGACAAATTCACCAAGTGACTGCTTTGTACCCTCAGCGAGGCAGCTGGAGGTGAGAAGCCACAAGCCAAGTGTGACACCTCTTTTGGAGCAATAAATTATAGCGAAAATATTCTGGGTGAATAGTGTCGCACAACTGCTAAGTAATTGAAAACATTTAGTCTTGTTTAATGCAAATAGGAATAATACCATGTAGATATTTTGCATGTTTCTAATATAGTTTTTGAAGCTGAGCCCTTCAAAGATGTACGCGCGCGCGCGCGCGCGCGCGCGCACACACACACACACACACACACACACACACACACACACCACTCCTTCCACGGCTTTTTTCTTCTGCAGTTCAGGGCACCTTGGTGGAAAGTTCTGAGTTCTGTGGGACTCCCGGGAGAGATCTGAGTGCAGATGCTCCCAGGCAATGGGTCAGAGGATCCCCCTCTTTGCTTGAGGCATGCACACATACCCTCCTGATCTGCCCTGGTGGCATTTCCCAGCCAGGTGGCTGCTGCATCCAGATGGCCAGGAAATGGGCATAAAAAGGGCCCTGTGGTACCCTGACTTAGACTTTGCTTCTCAGCTATGGTTACATAGGATAGGCACGCAGGGCACGTTAATGCATGTAAATTTAAATCACACGGGGACATTTAAGTCAAATATCTGGGACCCAACCCCAGAGACTCATTTATTTGGAGTGTGGGCGGGGCACTAGGCCTTCTGGAGAATCCCCAGGTGATTGTGATGGGCAGCTTTGGCTGAGAAGAGAATACCTGGAAAGATTTGCAAATGTGCTGGCTCCTTGCATCCTCCCCAATCCCAGAGGTGCCCCATGCTGGTGTCTAAAGAGGGGGGTCCAAAGACTCAGAGAAGTTCCGAAACTGGCCAAAAGGCACCCAGGTGTTAGGTGCAAAATAGGCGACTCCGGAAGATTGGGTCCGCACTTCAGCCCTCTGACTACCGCCCACCCACCCACTCCCCCGCGCGCGCACCACACTGACTCCCAGAAAGGGTCCCCCATGAGGACAGGGCTCGCCAGTGAATTTGGCAAAGCAGAGGAATGGCAGGCGGGAAGCTTGCCAGGGTGAGAGTTAGTACAGAAGCGGAGAAGGATTTTAATCTTCTGTGCTTAACACGGTGGCCAGGCAACGAGGAACTCTGCGTCCAAAGAAGCTTCCACTACTGAGGAAACAGGGCCCTCTGGGCTCCTCGCGCCTCCCAATTCTTGGTACCCTGAGCCCAGGGGCGTGGTTCCACTGCCTTCCCTGGTATCCTTCCCTTCCCTCCCACAGGTGATGCAGCACGCGTGGGTGGAAGGGAACTCCTCCGTCAAGTGTGACCGGTGCCACAAAAGTATCAAGTGCTACCAGAGTGTCACCGCGCGGCACTGCGTGTGGTGCCGGATGACGGTGGGTCGGTGCCCAGGGCGGCCCTACTTCTTTTCAGTGTGGGAGTGGCTCGAGCTGTAGCCCGGGGCAGTGAACATCCCTGCAGAGGGCAAGTCTAGAGAGAAGACGGAGAGGGTCCCAGAACCCCCACCCCCCCACCCCAATTTGAGGTTCTCAGCCTCTGATGACTCCTCAAGTTGCCCAGAGAGAGGGCTATTTAAGAAGTTGGTCACTCTATTGCCTACATGACTAGCTGCTGGGAAGAGCAGGCTAGCTTGTGAGTTCTCCTCCACCTGAGGCTGGGGTCCCCACAGACTGGAACAGGGATTAGATACTGGAAAGCTCACTCTCCACACCTTAGCGTTAAAACTTGGCTCAAAGGCACATTCCTCTCAGCAGCGCCCTGCCGCGCCCAGGGGCCTGGCCATGCTGCTCCCATGCTCATGCCAGCGTCCACAGCTTTCTAAACATGACAGGTGCCACCTAAGCTGCCCAGCCTGCCTCCCAGCGCTAATTCTGGGCAGTGTCTTGTGGCCCCTGGCTAAATATCAGCCCTAAAGAGGAGGCTCCCCCAAGCCAGACAAAGGGACTCACACAATGCGATGGTTCAGTTGTCTCTATACGCCAGCCTCCTGCGGTTTTATTCCCAGAGGCAGGCCTCCTTCAGAGTGTCTAAACCAGAAATCCAGGGGCATGGGTGCAGAATCCACACAGAGGGCCACACTTGGAGGGTAGCTCTTGATCTCATTTCTATGACCCTGGCAGACATACCACGTGTTCACACACATAACCAACAGTCCTGTTAAATCCAAAGTTGGCAGTGCTCCAAGACGTAGGGGCACTAGACAGCTCTCTTCCCCAGAAAACCCCCGCACCCACCTTCCTGATGTTTCTTTTTTCATTTCCGCTCATACTTGTCTCCATTTTTTCTTTCTCCAGTTTCACCGCAGATGTGAATTTTCGGCGGTGTGTGATGGTGGGGAGCTCAAAGACCACATTCTGCTGCCTACCGCCATATACCCCATCACCCAAGTAAGTGGTCCTCCCCCCACCTGGGCTCTGGCTTTTCTAGGTTCAGGGGTCAGAGACAGGCCACACCCACAACTTCACATGCCTCCATGTTTCCCCACCGGTTCTAAGGGCAAGTCTAGAGAGAAGGCAGAGAGGGTTCCAGAGCCCCACTGTTGGCCAGCCTACTGCCTACATGACCAGCCTCGGGGAATGTAAGCTCCAAGGGCTTATGATTTGGTGAAGGTTGAAAAGAAGCCAGTGTTGCCCCAGGCAGATTGGGTGAGAACACAGATGCTGCAGCTTCCAACTGCTGCTTCCACGTGTTCGGAGCATCCCTTCTGAGCATCTTTCAGGCAGAGCCCAGCTCGAGGGACAACCCGGCCCAGGCCAGGTTGCTTGGCCTCCTTCCTCCCTGAATCTCCTCTCTCAAGGGCTCCTACCCAAGTGTCTCAGACATATTTGGAAACAAATGAAGATGAAGTGAGCTCCCTTTGCTTCCACCTGGAACCTTTTTTGCCTCCTGACTCCTGCACCTCCATCTTCAAACTATCTCCACTGAGTCTCCCTTCTCACCCCTGCCTGGAACAAATACTTTTTTTTTTCTCTCTCATTTAAAATCCTTTAAGAAAATCACCACTCTGGAAGTCCATTTGTCAGTTTCCATTAACTTAGACATATACCAACTCCATATCCCCAAAACTCGCCTCCTGTGGAGAAATGCAAGCAATTACTCCACCAACAGATAAGGACACCGCTCCTCACAGCACGGGTGCCTAGGTGCAAAAGCAGAGATGCTCAAAGATATAAAGCTAAACAAGCAATAGCACAAAAGTTTGATGTGTGGGGCTGGAGAGCCAGCTCGGCCGATAAGAGCACAAGCTGCTTTTCCAGAGGTCTTGAGTTCAAGTCCCAGAACCCTCATGGTGGCTCACAACTATCTATAAAGGGATCTGATGCCCTCTTCTGGCCTGCAGGCATGCATACACACAGAGCCCTCATACATATAAATAAATAAATAAAATTTTAAAAAAGTTAAGTGCAGACATGCTTCATGATTCTCTTGATAAAACTCCTGAAGATCAGGTAAAACCAGGGTTGTCTGCAGAGACAGCAATCACATGCTTGCATGCATGAATTCATGCACACATACACACACACACACACACACACACATTATCACGCCAGGCAGTCTGCTAGACAAACGTCATTAGAATAAACAATGAACTTTTAAACAAGAAAGTAGAACAAGCAAAGTGAGGAACAGTAGCCACTCCATGGCTCAAGTCCTGCTGAGCAGGGAAACCAAGAATACGGCCTGCTTTTAAAGCCCGCAGTCAACTAGATTTCTGCCTATTTCAGTCCCTACCATGCCCCAAGTTGACAGTCACCACAAGTGATGTAATCACAGGTTACAGTCATCACTGGGTCTGCAGAAGCCTAAAGAACCTTGTGGGGTATATTCGTTTCTGAGCTCTGAAGTTCCACTTTGAAAACCTCACCGCTTTCTACCTGTCCGAGTTCTTTCTTGCCATCTCTTGTAATGCTTTGATCTTGTCCTTGCAGTGGCCTTTGTCCCTCTCAAAGGCTGTTTGTGTTCTCTCTCACACAGGACAGGCAAGGAGGGAAGTCCGACGGCAGCATGGCCTCCAAGGGTGAACTTGTAACACAGGTACCTCATGAATGGGCCGTCCAACTACTTGTTCTAAGTGGGCCCAAAGTCTGGGGCAGGGAGAGGGGGGCTTGGGTTTTAAAGAAATGTGTCTCAGCATTTGTTTCTTATTCTACCAATTCTGTCACACGGGCAGACATTTACCCGGGCCTCTGGGGTTAACCTTTGACTGCCACACTATAGACAGTGGTGAGCAAGGCAATTGGCTGATACCTTTGATATTCTAATTGGCTTTGTGGCCTCTTTAAGATAAATTTTCATGAAACTACAACTTGCAAATCTTCTGAATAGTAAGAAATGTGTGGAGTAAGATTGGACAGTGGGTCTTCTGTGGTTGCCCAGCTATCTCTAGAACATAGTCCATCAAAACAGTAAACCCAAAGGTTCTTGATCCTTAAGCATGTGTTTATGACTTCATTTTTCACTAAGCATCACCAATGAATATTTTTTGCATGCCCTCCATGAAGTTCTAAGGAATGCAGAGAAGGCACCCAACGAGGTACAAAAAAATGTCAGAACAGGAAATAGAAAGAAGGGGTCTTATCCTAGGCCTGCGAGCTTCCATTTCCTTGTTATAAGAGTCAGTTTACTGTGTCCCACAACTGCTTGCCTCCCACAGTGCTGTAGACTGAGACAATGGAGATCATCTGTTTTGAAATTACAAGATAAACTGAAATTGAAGATGCAAGATAAAATAATCAATAGACGGAAATGCTCTAGACACTCAAAGAGAAGTCTCTAGATGCCAAGAAAATAGTCTAGACACCACAGAGAAAGGAAGGGGTATAGATACCTAGAAAAGAACCCTCTAGGCACTTAGAAGAGAATATATACACACACATGCATACACACACACACACACACACACACTGAGGGCAAAAGACACAAGTTGTCCCACACTGGCATCAATTTGATTAGCAGGTCGCACTTTGAAGGTCATCTCCCAGCTTAAGGGCTTACTCCCCTGGCTCCAAGATGCTTTTGAGTATCTCACAATTACCCTAGAAGACACCAGAATTCTTTGAAATCATAAACAACAATAATTGCACTTTGCAAAACTGTCATGTTGTGATAAATGGTTGTGAAGTTTAAAACTAACGATGCAGGCATTAAATATTGAACATGAGGCCAAGCGGTATCTGTGTGGGAATATCATTCAGCTGAATCCACAAAATTTTACTGAGAGCCCACTCCCGTGTCAGGCACTGGGGAGCCCACGGCAGCTCCACTCTGCTCCTCATAGATTCTGATCTACCTGACGGCTTGAGAGCTTACCCAGAAAATGAAAGACAAAAAGAAATGCAAAGAGTCGAATCTCAGTGCTGTAGGGAATAGTGCGCATTGCACGCTGCAGCAGCTTTAGTTGCAGTGGCTGAGAGCAATGTCACGTCACAGAGCCGATGACTCTGGAACCGAGTCCTCGGCTATTCTGGATTTCTTTAAGAGGTTGCAAAGAAGAGAGTATTTCAAGTCATGGGACAAGAGCAAATGAGGGTGAGCATATGCATAGTTAGACACACTCACTGAGGCAGGCACAGGCTTCTGGGCCTAGCACTGAGCAGGGGGACAGGAGAAGTGAGGAGAGAGCAGAAGAAAGGGGAGAAGCTGAGAAGGCCTTGAGGCCAGGCTTAGAGATTTGGATTTGATCCTGAGAGCAATGGGGTGTCATTACAGGTGTTTTTAGAAGAGGTGGCATGTTTGACGTGGTATCCCAGAAAGGAACTGGGGTGGGGGTGTAGAGCATTCAGCTGGGGGTAGGAAAAGCCTTAACACCATAGGGACCATGAAGACTGCAAGGAAAATTCTAAGAAAGAACTTGGCAGGCCAGATCTCCCCCTGGATGCCCAGTTGAGTAACCCCACCTTTAACAGGAGCAGGACAACAGGCATGAGGGTCGATTTTATGGGAAACACAGTCTGTCTGGGCATGTTGGTGTGGTACCAATGATAAGGCATCCACTAGATAGAAGTGTGAGCTTGGGAGGAAAATTGGGTCAGGCTTGTGGATTTGGAAGGTGCCGGGGCCGGAGTGCTCGTGGCCATCACCTCATTGGTGCTGGTGTGTGACGTGGTGGACGCACCCTCTAGACCATTTCACTGTGACCCTCACCGATTCTAACCTTGTGCCATGGGCACAATGCCACACAATTGTATAATTTGAAGCTGGTGCTGTTGCGCCACCTCTGTTCCCAACCTCCAGCGCTCACTGCTGTTAGCTCTCTTGAAAGTCTCTCAAGCTGGAGAGAGCTGTTTTTCTCCCTCAAAAATCGCAGTCAGCAGACAAATAGCCCCCCTTCTCTCCTCCCTGCCTGGGCCTGCTTCCCGTCCACCCTCCTAAGTTTTCTCGACATCTACTACTGAATAATGCTCATTTCTTTTTCTTCTCATTTTTAAGTATAAGATCATCCCTAGTCCAGGAACTCATCCCCTGCTGGTCTTGGTGAACCCCAAAAGTGGAGGAAGACAAGGAGAAAGGTATGTCCTCTTTGCTTTCTTCAAAATAGAAAGACAGTTGGACACAGTGTCACATAGCTTTAATCCCAGTACTCAGGAGGAGTACTGGTCTAAGGAGGGAGGAGGCAGGCAGAGAGATCTCTGTGAGTTCGAGGCCAACATGGTCTACAAATCGAGTTCCAGGACAGCTGGGACTGTTACACTGATAAACCCTGTCTCAAAAAATAAAAACAATAACAAAATAGACATGCTAAAACAACCTGACCTGAACCCCTTCCTCCCCTCAACCCCAATAAAGAAGACTGCACTGTCAAGGAAACCTGGGCTCGTGGCCACTTGCCACTTCATCACCAGGCCCAGGTGACTTAATTCCCCATGCCTCAGTTTCTCCCTCTATGACACAGATGGAAATGATATCACCTTTCACAGGGTAACCTTAAGGTGCTTACCCACGGACCTGCCACATGAGCCCCAGTGAAGGCTGCCAGAGTCAAGTTCAGAGGGGCCTGACTCTTCCTGTCCTGCGCCAAGTCTTTTCTTGGTTTTAAAAGACTTGGTGAGACTCATCTGATTAGGGCCTCCTAGCCTATCCTGAACTCCACCTTCCCAGCGAGGAAAATGCAGGGTTTGGGCGAAGCTGGAGTAAGCTCCGCAGAGCGGGAGGAGAAATGGGGGCCCACAGAACTGCTCCGCCTCCCAGGACTGCTCGGTCCGGGAAATGAGCAGGTGGAGGAAGAGCAGGAATCCAGGTTTAGAAAAATAATATTAGGTAGGGCTCAGGCAAGTACACTGAGGTTCCCACCCCGTCCAAGGGGCAAGATGCCTCCTGACCTAACTTAGCGATCCCATGCAGAGCCTGGAAACCAAGCCCAGACATAGTCGCTGCTCTCAGTTTCCGGTCCCACCCCCTTCTGCTTGTACTCTTCTGAGAAAGCTGGACCCTCTCCCCGGCGGCCCCTAGCGCCTCTGGACAGTCCACAAAGGGCAGACTCACCCTGCCCCGACACAATATAAAGAGGTCTCTAACCGACTTGTTCACTGGGCTTCTCTGCCATGGCTGCTGCAATAAGCAATTCCTGGGGCGGGGCTGGAGTCAGACAGAGGGGTAGTTTGGGGCCTGAGGTAAGGACATGGGGATGCCAGGTGCACTGGGATATGGGGGTAGGCATGCAACATTTCCCCTCTTAGGCTTAAGCCCCACAGATGGGTGCAAAGGTATTTGTCCCCAGGTGACTTCTGCAGTACAATTTTCCTTCTCTGTTATTCCTTTTTTCTCCCATAGAATTCTCCGGAAATTCCACTACCTGCTCAACCCCAAACAAGTTTTCAACCTGGACAATGGTGGACCTACTCCAGGGTATGGACATCCGTCTTTTCTTAAGAAACACCCTCCTTCGTCACCTTTGAACTCTCGGGCTCTTGACCTTTTCTGCCTACCATCTGCTCTCCTTTCTTTTTTCGCACACCTTTGCCTGGCCTGGTTATTGTTTGAGAAGTGGTGTTGATGTTTGGGGGAGGGGGGAAGCTATGTGCTGGCCATTGGACCCGCAGGGCGGTCAGGCTGGTGGCCTATTTGATCTTTTTTGTACTTTTAATGCCATCTCTCTGCAGACTGGCACAGTGACTCAAAGTCTGTCACGTGTCCTGTTATGGGAGCATTTTAGTCAAGGAAACCGTTCTTTCCCCCAAGCATCCAATTTTGCGGCAGTTACACGCCCCCTGACCCTTCTCCCACCTTCCTGCTCTCTAGCAGAAGGTGAGAAAGCATGGTGAGAGGGCAGGGGGCAGGGCCTCTGTGACTTGACTGAAGGTCTGGTGGACAGAGCTTGCCCACTTTATGAGAAATTGTCACCTCAATGGGCTTGAAGGTGTCTACCCAGTCAGAGCTGGTGCCCTAGCGCCATCTGCTGGTCGGGACTACCACACCTCCTGACCCGCATTTCCACCCTAGATTCGGTGAGATTCCTCCCACTGGAGTAAGGTGGCTATAAATGGAGCTTGTCCCCGTCTTTTGGTTGTCTGACACAGGGGTTATTTATAGAAGTGGAAGCACAAGACCCAGTTAAAAGGAGAAAGGCACGCAGGTACAAATTCACTATCTGGAAAACTTACTCAGAAGTCCGTCAGGCTCTTGGAGTTGCCGTTATGGCCACGTGTCTGCGCGTTACTGCTGGATAGCACCACCGAGTGCCAAACATTAAGTGTCTTTTCGGCCCCTCTCTCGGAGGGTATTTCAATGACACGGGTTTCTCGGCCTTTAATTCTTTTTCCTATGACTGACAAGCTTGAGGTCGACTTCAGGTCTGATGGGTCCAGAGTAAATTCAGTGTGCACGCTCATCTGTCCGCAGGCGGGTTGTCCAGATGAAGGGAGCTTCGGTTCAGAGTGCCCCATCTAAAGAGAGCAGGGTTCCGCAAGGGAAATGAGAGAGGATAGCTTTGTCATCTGTGCTAAGAGACTCCCTCCCAGGGGTCTTCTCAGACCACCCAGCTGAGAAGAGAAAAATACAGGCCTTGGGATCCCTAAATTGCACCTCGAGGCATCCACAGGTCCCATTTTCTCCAAAGCGGTACTTCTTTACTTTTTCTGCCAGGGACTCCTGTCACAATCTGTTGGACTAGGGACTCCATCCAGAACGATATTGTCTAATGCAGAATGTGAAATAATATGGCATTTCCAGGGAAACTAATTACGTGGAGAAGTAGTTAGCAAAACCTAAAAGACAAGTTTGTGGCATGTAAATGAATACGGTCTGTCAACATATTAAACAGCAATATTCATAGTCTGGCTGAATATTGGCTGTGAACTGAAAGCCACAAATGACAGAAAAGAGAGCGTTCCACTTACGGCACGGGTGTAATGGGACTGAAATAGCGACGATTGTGACATTCACTTTGACAAAGTCACAGGTGCTCTCAGAGCCTCTGGGGTCTGTCGCCTACATTCACAATCGAAAGACATGCTAAATTTCCATTAGAGATTAGGAGAGAGGTTACTGTGATGTGTTCTCGACACTACTCTGATTTCTGCCCACAGACCCACTGGAGGACAGCGGGCCCCAAGCCCTGCTCTACAGGATGCAGGCTCCCAGGGAAAATGGGCCTCATTCCCCTCGGCAGGGGGGCCCCAGAGGGAAAGATGAAGATCCAGATAATTGAGTGCTTCTCTCTTAAAGAGGTGGTTATAAAGACAGCAGTCAGGAGAGCTGAGAGGAGTCAAAATATTACGGATTATCTGTATCGCTGCCAAAATGTAAAAACCGAATTCCTCAAATTGTTGAGAAGTTCTCAGAAGTGGTTTCCCATTTATACTGAATGTCGGATCAGATTCTCTTTGTATTGGGATGTTAGTGAGCATGTGCGCGCGTGCGCACACACACACACACCATGCACACACACACACAAATTACACCATTGATTTTTATCTATACTCAGTAGCTCTGCATAGGACATCCTGGATTCAGAATGCTAAGTGACTCTTTCAACCCCAAAAGAATCAAGAACTTTTCCTAATTCCAGGGAACACAGAGACTGACTCAGAAGAATCAAGTTATTAAGGTTGGAATGAAGCTCACCAATAGATAGTCTGCTTGACAGACTGGAGCCCGGGGTTCAGTCCCCAGCACACATGCATGTGCACACACACAGACATACACACTATAAATGTTAGTCACGACCTACTAATAAGACCACGATGGCCTTTCTTCTTTCCAGACTGAACTTTTTCCATGACACCCCAGACTTCCGTGTTCTTGCCTGTGGCGGAGATGGGACAGTTGGCTGGATTTTGGATTGCATTGGTAAGAATGGCCAGGAAGGCCTTTCTTTACTTATTATTATTGATAGTGGATAATTTAAACTCAGCAGAAAGCAATGAACTAAAGAAGGAATAGAGCCGTGTCTTGTCCATTCTGTGCCCCTTCTGTGCCCCTTTCATGTACGGATGCTTGATTAGATATGGCGGGGGGTGCTGAAGAGTTTCATTGAAGGCTTTGTCTTTAAAAAAAAAAAAAAATCTGTCCCAGACAGAGCTGGGCAGTAACAGAACAGACAGATTTGAAGCAGAACTAGAGATCCAGATAGTCACATGATGAGTAAAGGCCAGGGAGCTGAGCACAGGTCACAGTCCATGGCGAATCAGCTGGAAAGGAACACCTGGAGCACGTCCGGAAGGTGCAGCTCAGTGCAAGCAGAGACAGACCATGCTGGGCTGTGTCCCACCTGGAAAGGGCATGAGAGGGGGCTGGAGAGCTGGGAGCCTGAGTTCGAGCCTAGCCCTGCCTGGATTCAGAAAGTGATGGAGATTGTGAAATGTTGGGATCGGGGATAGTCAAGACAGAACCCAAGCAGAACCCAGGCAAATTCTGCAGTAGAGAACAGAAAGACCAGAAAGCTGCCAACAGAGGCACCAGGATAGGCTAGCATCAAAGTCAGAGGGGCAGGAACAAGCCATGGGCCCAGGGTGGCTTCACACCTCCTGTCTGTCATCACACAAACGCTGCCTTGAATTCCTATGAGCCAGATCCTCTTGTAGTCACTAGAGATGCCACCGATGTATAAAGAGTCAAAATTACTGTACTAACGGAGACTATTTCTGGAGGCAAGAACCAGGCAGCAAAGAAATGGGTGAAATGTATAGAGCATCAGAGGGTAGTAAAAACATATGAAGAAAGGAACAAAGGGAGTCTGGGATGGAGTGAGGTTGCAACCTAAGAACAGTCAAGGACGAGCTCACAGCATATGAAGTGATGCTATTTCCAAGAACTGGAGAGTTGAGCTGTGTGGATGCCTAAGAGTATAGTCCAGACAAAAGAAGCAGCAAGGGCCAAGGCCCTAAGGCTGAAGGCAGACCAGTGTGACCAAGAGCAGGGGACACACAGGAAGCAGTACAGAGGTGAAGCAGAGGCAATGAGGGTCTGGGTCACATGGGTAGGTAAAGCATTAGGTGGAGCATGGCTGTTAGAGTGGGAGAGCCCCAAGATATCAGGAGGTTTAGGTGAAGAAGAAAGGTGGTGTGCTCAAAGATAAGAGTAGAAGCAAGGAGACCAGTTAGGAGCTCCAACAGCGACCCAAGAGAGAGTGGCCAGGGCTGAGCCACATGGAAACAGGAAGGCATGACAAGTGTACAAGTCTGGATGTCTTTAGGGGGCAGGGACAACAGGGTCTGCTGGCACCTGGGACACGGTTGATAAAAGGATGAGAAACATCAAGATTGGCCAGACTAGACCCCAGCCAAGCCAGGCAGGGAAAGGGAGGCCTTCAGAGGAGAAGGAACATCAGCGAGCTGCTACCCCCCTATAGCCAGGCTTTGGTCCCCATGCCTACACACACACCCCAGATATACACACACACACACACCCCAGATATATACATATACACACACTTCATACACATCACACAAACAAACACACACACCCCAGATATATACATATACATACACATACACACCAGATATATACATATTCACACATCATACCCATCACACACAAACCGCAGATACATACACAAACACGCATCATACACACACATCCCAGATATACACATACACACGCATCATAAACACAAACACACACACCCCAAATTTATACATACACACATATACATCTCTCATACATACACACCAGATATATTCATGCACATACATGCATTATACACATACACATCTCACACACATATCACACAAATACACATGCCTCACATACACACATATCATGCACAGCTCACACACATTATACACATACATAACATATACATACATCAAACACATACATGTCTCACATACACACACATATACATACACATTATACACACCTCAGACACATACACATCTCACATATATGCATCAAACACACATTACATTACACACATATACATCACATACACACATCAGACATGTACACATCTCACACACACATCATACACATATACATCTCACATACCTTGTACACGTACACATCACAGACGACACACACCACACACATCGCGCACACACACACACACACACACACACACACACACACACACACCACTCTGCTGCCTCTGTGGGCTCTGAAGTTTGTGGGAAGAGAGAAGATGCCCATCCAGGAACTGTGAGAGGAAAGGCAGCTCATGGCTGCAGTCTCAGCCCTCAGTCCCCTTAGTCCCACTCACCAAGAGGAAGAAAGCCGCCCTTGGAGAAACTACACAAAATCCCTCTACAGAGAACATCGGAGACAGATATAGCTCAGAAAAAAAGAACCATGTGCGATGAAAGGGATGCTAGACTTGCTCACACAGGTTACTGGTTCAAAGAGAAGCCAGGCAGGAAAAAGGAAACTGTAGTGTGCTGCTTTCTTCATTCACCATTTGAGCACGTGTGCCGTGATCTCCGCCACCCCACTGGGGCTCTCGCTCCCACCTCCCCCGCTACAATCCTACCGCTCTTAGCCTAACATCAGAGGGTTTGCGGTGTGCATAAAGACACCAAGAGCTTCCTGTGGTTCTTCAGAAAATGAGGAGACTCTTCTAATGACTGCGGGGCTCAGGTAGTTGAGTCATTTGCTCTCCCTCCCATCCTTTTCTGGGGGTTCCAGCCACCCAGCCCTGCTCTCAGACCCTCAAATGGGACAATCTTTCTCCCCACATAGAGCCTTGTCCAAGTGGTCCTCCTGTCTGGAGTGCTCCCCAGCCTCAAATGAAGTGTAGCTTCTTGGGGTGGGGGAGGCTCTCCTACACATTAGTCAGCTACAGCCACCTTGTAACAGGACCGTTCCCCTTCCCTCTCCAGTAAAAAGGTACATTATGTGTGCAAAGATATGGCAGCCATGTCTCCACCACAGACTGTGGGCACCATGAGAGCCTGGCCAGGGCCACCTCCCACCGCGTCTGCCATATGGCAGGACTCAGTGGACCCAAGTGGAGATGCCAGGGCAAATGAAGTTATCGGCCATTCAGGGGACAAACAAGTGAACAGTTACATGAGAATATGATAACAATCACCACCCCCGATGCTCTAGGAGTCACCAAGTGCAGACCCAGGTGACAGGAGGTGACTTTTGTGCTGAGAAGCAGGAGTGTTAGGTCTGAGAAAAGTTCAGGGAGGTTTCGTGGCAGGGTGGGAAGCCGAGCGAGCAGAAGGTGAAGGCTAGGAAGAAAGGCAGAGCCTCGATCCTGAGGCGTAGGCTGCTGAGGAAGCTGCAACACTGATAGAGGAGAGCCCTAACGTGGAGGATCTGGGGCCCAGGCATTGCCCTCCAGGGCAGAATGTGGAGAACATACCAGGAGAGTGGACATGGAGGCAGAGAGAGAAAAGGAGACTCTGGAACCAGTATAGAGGAGAGGAATCAGCCCTGCACTCACTCACTGTCTCCATGGGGATGGAGAGAAGAGGTTGCTGGGAAATCTGTTCCGGAGACAGCTCACAGGAAGTGCTGTGTGGGTGAATGGAGTGGAGGAAAAAGGAAAAGCTGGGATGGCGTGCAGATTTCTGGGCTCAGGGCTGGAAGGATGGGTGACCTCAAGGTGGCAACCTCAGGATAAGGGACAGACAGAAAGAAACAGGTGCCCTCCGGGTGACGGGAGACTCCAGTCACATGTCAGGAGCAATCAGAGTTCAGTGCATCTTTCCAATTTCCATTCAGCCCATCAGCGGTAATCTCGGCCCTGAGATCAGCCTCTTCCGGCACTGGGCAGGCCACTGGTAGTGACTCTGAACCCCTACTCTGCCAGGAAAGTCCCAGTTCAAGCTCTCCACACTGATCCCTGTAGCCCTCCCTAACCCCCACCCATGGCTAATATGTTGAATACCTCACAGGGCAAGGGTCTGTGTGCATGCCCCCTTAAAACCCCACAGGTACCCGTACTTCCCCCTCCCATTTCCCTGCCCTGCCACCATGCTGAAGACTACAGGCAGACCAATGCCCGGTTGACAGTGACATCTCCCTGACTGTTCTGGCCACGCTCCTGCGCAACCATAAAGGGAGGTGAGGGGGAATCTGTATTCTGGGAAGCGTCAGGAGTCACGAGATGATAAACTGGTGTGTGGGTGTCAGGTAACACCTGCAGGCTTTCTTACTTTAGCACCCTGTTGCTGCTTAAGCTTTAAAATAGACGTGGCTTTCAATGAGCTTTGTCAGTTTTCCAGAGACCCCACCACCACCACCATTCCCTACCGCCAGGCACACTTCTCACTGTGCCCTGCCTGGCCCCCGAGGGCAGCAGGATGGGCTTGAAGCCAGAGATCTGAGTTTGGATCCAGGCTCTGGAATCGCTTTTCCTTCATAAACCTCTTCCTTGGCTAGGTTGCCATAGGCAATGAATGAAAACAAATATTGGTCCTCATCAAGTGTTAAAATCACACGAGCCGATGTTTTTGCAGCGTGTACTGTCACCTTGAAGAACAGAATTGAGACGTGTTTAGGATAAATGGGTGCAAATTATAGGGCGAGCGATTTATCTCCATAGGAAGAATTGATTGACAACGTCAGCAAACTTGCAGCAGCTAGCGTGTGGCAAACGTTGTGGATGGCCTCAGTGAGGGGCGTGTTTTCCATTGCAGGAAGGATTCTCTGATTACAGTGGGGGAAGGCAAGCAACCAGTGGGGATTATAAGATAATGCAGCCACCTTAGTCACGTGGCATGTCTGTTCCTTCATGTGGGTTGCAGATAAGGCCAACTTCACAAAGCATCCACCAGTGGCCGTCCTGCCTCTCGGAACGGGGAATGACCTTGCACGATGTCTCCGCTGGGGAGGAGGTGAGTATGCACGCCTCTGACGTCACACTGGAGCCCAGCGTTCAGGCTTTCACGGATGCTGTGCAGGGACAGGTAGACTTAGCTTTTACCGGTCTCTGTCCACAAGAAGGTAGTTGACGGTCATTTCTGATCCATGATCCTGCCGTTCCATGCTGGATCTGGAACAGGAGCCCCCTCCTCCTCTAGGTCCCGGGGTCCTGCATGGTCTCTTCGCATTGACTACAATCCTGAAGCCATCGGCTTAGAGCCTGCCTCCTCCAGCAGGACCTGCCTACTGTAGGATAAAGATAATCTCAGCCAGCCCCTCCTTATACATGCTTGTCCTTATGCATGGATTCAGAATGCAGCCTGGAATACTGCATCACCAATCAGGAGATACCAGGGACATCTGGATTATCAGGCTCCCCGGGGCTATGGAACACAGAGAGGTGGTGGCTTTTAGAGCAAAGGTCAAGGACTTTGCAAACGAAGCAGCTAATAGAGCTGGGCATGAGGCAGAACACAAAGCCCGGCTCCACTGAGGGAAGCCAGCAGGCAGAAGACCAATAACTCCAGGTGGTTGATCAATTAAGGGAGCAATTCTAGACCAGGACAGCCAGGACAGTCAACACCTGTGTTCTTGTGTGGAGGCTAAAGCAGAGGAAGTCAGACCTGAGAGTCATCTTAACAGTATACCCTATCGCCACACTGTCCATCTTCCACCCAGAACAGTCTTGGGATGGATCTGCTACCTTCCACACTCAACCTCCCAGCCCTGTAGCTGACCAGTCTCCCCCCTTCTCTCCTTTATCTCCTTCCTTTGTCTTTTCTTCCAACTAGTGGTGTATTTCCTGTACAAAATAGTACGTTTTGTTAAGCCTTTCTCATGCATGATTATCCTGTTCTTTAATATCGATGACGATACCTTCGCCTGTTCCCACATCCTATTACCCCATCCCTCTCCCAATAGCCCACTTCCTGCTTCATGTCAGGTGGGTGGGTGGGTGGGGGTAGGTAGATATACAGATGTATAGATAGATACATAGATGGAGAGATAATAGAGAGATGGATGGGTGATAGTGTGATTTATGTAAACATCACATATGGAAAAAGCATAATACCTAAGTCCATCTTCCTTCACTCCACAGGATAACCCTTAGTCTGTCCACATCCTGCAAATGGCATCAGCTCACCCATTCTCAAGGGCTGGCTTTAGCTCCGGAGCCAGGCCTGCCTCTAGTCAACACCTATTCCAGTGCTTGCTCTCTGGCTTCCAACTCACCCCTAAACTCCTGCTAACTACTCCCTGCTATCCGCCCCTTCTCCCTGGCTTAGCGAACACACATGTCTCCAGCCCCAAGTCACCCAGAAGTCTAGTCACAAACGCCTGAAGAGTTACTTGCCCTGCCTGAGGGACAGCTTCGCCTCTGCTCTGGTGGTACACACCATGCTCTTGTCCATAGGTTACGAAGGGGGCAGCTTGACGAAAATCCTGAAGGAGATTGAACAGAGCCCCTTGGTGATGCTGGATCGCTGGTATCTCGAAGTCACACCCAGAGAAGAGGTGGAGAATGGAGACCAGGTCCCATACAACATCATGAACAACTACTTCTCCATTGGTGTGGTAAGTTGGTCACTGGTTGCTTTTCTGTATGACCAAAACGTGTCCATTGACCCCTCCTGGACCCCTACTTCTTGTCTGTTCTGTTTGTCCCTAGACCTGATTGGGTCTGAACATCCTCAAATCTGACATGGCTGTGGCCACCCCGACAGTACAGCCATTCTATCCCTTGGCTGTAGAAGAAATTCTTACCTCTGTACTTTTAACAGAAGAAAAGACTGGGATTTTTCTTAAAATGTATCTATCCTTCAGATAATATGAAACAATTAAAGGAAACAAATGCCAAGGAATGAGGCCAGGAAGAGCCCCTTTCGGGAGTGTGAGGAGCATCTGATCCTGAGAAGGGACCACATGCTGCCACCAGGCTCAGTAGACAACACTCAGACTCCTCGCCTCCTGCTCACACACCTCCTCCCAGTCCTACTACACATTCTCCAAGTGCTTCATACACCCCTAGGAGGGTTCTCCTCCCGCTGCTGCTCAGGCGAAGGCCATTGTTCCTCCACAATGCTTCTACAGCCCTCATCGCGGCCCATCAGCGTCCTCCATGCATTAGACTGGAGGGACGGCTTTAGGGTGCCTGCGTCACCTTCCTCCCATATGCAAGTGTGTGCTTGCATGCACAAATACAGACACATATGCACACATGTGTACACACACTCTTATACACACACACAGACGGATGGGCAGACAGACAGACAATGATGTCTGTGTTCCCTTTCTATCCTCCGGCCCCAGCCCAGCTAGTATAACTCAGTTTGTCATACTGAAGTCAGCTTCTAGATCAGAGCAGGCACTGCTTCCTAGGCTGTTGGGGACATAGGATGAGCGTAGTCTTTTTTTTTAAAGTATTTTATGTATATGGATATTTTGTCTACATGTATATCTGTACCAGAGGGCAGAAGAGGGCACCAGATCCTCTAAAACCAGTTACAGATGGGTGTGAGCGGCATGTAGGTGCTAGGGGATGGAGTCAGGACCCCTGGAATGATACCCAGTGCTTTTTACCACTGAGCTACCTCTCCAGCCCCCCAGCTGGAGTGTCCTTAAACTGAGCTGGGGCTTGGGGTGGTGGTACAGAAAGGAAAGCAGCTTTACTGGACCCCAGCTGCACGCTCTCTCCCGGGGCAGGCTTGTTCATTCCAGTCTTCACAGCACTCTGTAAGCATCACTCTGATTACACAGAAAGGCTTAGGACTCTCAAAGAGATAGACCAAGGATCTACTCCCTTACCACCTCCATCCTCCCCCACACTCCATCTCCCATCAGTCTTGGGTCTAAGCATCCTTCCTTCCTGCCTCCCTGTCTTTGGGATTGTTCTGAACAATATCAGGTGCATATGAGACCCCTCAGGCCACCGGCTGGCACCAGACTGAGGGTTACCCACCCCCCTTTTTCCTGTGCCTCTTTTGAAACTAAAAAATATTAATCCTCGCTCACAGTGACGACAGGATCGAAGAGCAGCCACATTGGCAGTGTTCTTTCTTGGTTGTTTGTTTTCATTCTACTGATGCACAGAAGAACACTGTGTCTTCTGTTCTCTGAAAAAAGGAACAGGCTTGAATGAAGGCTTTGCCTTCACCTTCACACTCCTACTCCAGCCCTCTTCGCTATGACAGAGGCAGGCAAGGCACTGTGGGTCCAGGATAAGGCGCCGTGACTGTGGAGGTGCTGCACTAGGGGTTCCTGCTTCCTCACTGCCTTATGCCTCTCCCCATCCCCCAGATTTTCCACTTCTGGTAGAGGGACACTGTCTCAAGCCCTCTTTCGGGGCCACCTTCAGGGAAGGTGCGCACACACACACACACATACACACCTTTCTTATACTCACGTCCCTCTCCTCCTGTTCCCAAATATCTTCAGCTCCAGACAGAGAGGTACCCATGCCTCTGTCGGGTTCCAGAGTATGGGATCCCACCATCAGCTTTATCAAACCTCACGTCTTTTTTCTGCCATGACCATCGTGTGACTTGGTGTTTATTGAGTGCCTGTGGTACACCCAGCCCGATTATCTTATTGCCTGATTGTGGTAGTTGTACCTGTGTGAGTCCAAGTTGGAGGGCAGCAAAGCTGGGGATCAGAATATCGTGCTCTTGAGCCTCCTTAGCTGTGGCCTCTGCCCAGCCCCCTCCATCTTCACAGGGCTACAAGCCATAGGAGTGAGGGAAGGTCTACAAACCCAGTGGGAGATGGCTCCGCGGCACCCCCTTTTCTTAGTGGAAATCCGCACCAGATTCTGACTTCTCATTTGACGCTGAGGCTCTCAGCAAGGTCTGTGATTCTGCGTTTTGAACAAAACCCTGGAAGCATTCTGATGCTGCTGATCCTGACCAAGGCCTCAGAGAGGCCGGACAGCCCTGAGCAGATTGCACAGAGGAAGTGGATCTGGCACACAGACATTAGAATTGAAAGAGAGGGGCTTGAGAGACGAGGGAACGCTGGCACCATAAAAGCAGCCAGCCAGAACTGATTGCTGAGCAGCGGGGTGGGTTAGGCTGCCCAGGAGCTTCCCGCTGGCACGTTACAAGCATGTCTACCTTCAGAACCTTCAACACACCTTCCCGTTCTTAATAAAGCTCTGGCTGGAAGGAACACAGTCCCCAAGATCTGTCTGTCTCCACACAATTGTCCTGTAGACATCTTTCCCTCAACTAGATACCCAGGCAGTAAATGAAAGAGCCAGGAATCATGGTTTTAATGCTTTCATTCAGGAGGAGGCGAGCAATAGGGAGAAAAGGGAAGCAGTTGGGAAGGAGGGAGGGGACCAAGGAGAGAGGGGGGTAGAAAGGAAGGAGGCTAATTGCCCTCCAAGGAAGCACAAACAGAAAACCATCACCTTCAACAGCCACCATGTTTACCCACCTGACCTACACAATTCCAAGGATACCTTTCTCATAGTTCTTTTCATATACCTTTCGCTTGTGCATATTTATTGTCATATTGTGGATGAGCGAGGAGATGGGACTTTTTATCTCATTGGTGTGCCCTGAGCTTTTCTCTTGAGAGAATGTTTGCAGGGCATGTGTTCTCGCTCTTTACAAGCTGGAAGGCGAAAATCCTGAGAAAATAAGTTGCCAGTGTGCAACCCCGGCTGAGCCTGGGGCTGACATTTGCAGAAGGTCTTGCTTCCTATTTGACTTCCCAAACTTTGTGAGAGAAGTGGGTATGTAAACCAAGCAGGTTCTACCTCCTTAGGATGCTTAAATAGAATCCGACTCCCCCGGCAAAGAGATGCCTGCAATGCCTTTGCCTCTCGGAAGGACTTGTGATGCCCACCGAGCAAATGGCGGCTGCCTTGCAACTATAAAGATGATGGTTGTGGCACCACGCAGTGCTGCCAGTGCAAACAGAACGCATTTTTCTAGACAGAGGGTTGAGTAAGATAGAGTCTCCTGGCCTGGCCTGGCCTGGGAGTCACTGCGACTCAGAGCTGCCATACAGCCACACACGAGCCCAAATCAATGAAGATTTTGCTCTTTGGTTTTATCATCCTTCTAGCCACAGACATCCCCTGGGAAGAGGTCTTAAACACAGTCATCCAGGACATCACTTCCTCTGGATTCTCCGGCCTCTTCCTCCCTGCTCGCTATTTTTGGATTCGCTGAAAGGTCAGGACGGCCAGGTATCAGTGACAGGAAGTTAGGGACTACGAAATAATTCCTGGATCTTGTGTAACTCGGAACTCCTCCCGGGCTCTGCTTTCAGTGAGCCTTCCCAGAGTGGTGAGCAGCTAATCCCTTGACTCAGTGAAGTCTATTTTGGATGCCAGAGAGCCACCAGCCCATACGCCATTTTTCTACCTTATAGACTGCTATTAGTGTTTACCTGCCTCGTGTCCCACAGTGACAAGCCTCCTACCCACTGGGGAGGGTGTCAACAAGACAGATTCTGTCAGCGCTGAGTTCTCATCTGACACGTGTGTGACTCACTGAGAAATGTGACTTGGATAAGCTGGACACATCTTTTCCACTCCCTAATCTGCCATAGATTTTAAAAACAATCCAAACTTAAAGTAATCCGCCCTGTGGTCTCTTTCCCGTCTCTGTCTTCAGAAGTTGCCAGTGTGATTTAGGCCTGCACTGTCCAGGATGGCAAGCACAAGGCACACGTGGCTACTATGGACCTGAAATGCCTAATTTAAGGTGTGTGTGAATGTTAAAAAAAAAAAAAACATGTATTTCAGAAGAATTGAGATATAAAGAAAAATTAAATATATCAATATCATTATTTATTTATTATATATAGAAATGATAGAATTTACAATAGGTATATTGGATTAGTTAAAACATTCATAAGATAATTTCATCTGTTCCTTTTTACTTTTATGTGTGGCTTCTAGAAATTTTTAAGTCACAAACATGTTATATTTCTATTGAACAGCACCTGGCTTAGACATTCTAATGTATCAGAGTCCAAACGACAGCAATTTATGTTTGAGAGAGAGCCAAAATCCTTCATCCAACCATATGTTTGAGGTTTTGGCTGCAGAAGGAACAGCCCTTGTCCATACTTCATCTCTTCTTCCACCCACGCCACACAGAACACACGCTGACTGGCGACTGTCAGAAATACCATGGCTTCCCCTGGCCTGCAATTCCTGTCACTCTCTCTAGAATGGAAGTGTGATTTTGCTATAATTGTCATCAAGAAAGTCTCTGAACCCATAATATAAATATGTCACATGCCACGGTCAGTGCTCAGCATGCAGGCCTTCAACAGAGTAAACGCCAGTCTCGATTCTTTCTATGGACCCCTTCCCCTGGAGTCTTTACACTGTCTTTCAGGAGACAGCTTAGCTCTCCCTTGCTCTTTCGTATATTTGTCAAGAGATTACACTGTCAGATTAGGAGTCATGGGCTGAGCTAACGATATTGTAAATGCTGGCCTTTGGAATAAGAAGCCACACAAAATTTAGTAATGGAAAAACCAAGGGCAATATGCTGTGGGATATTTGTAGACTGTTGTGGCTGGTTTCAGAAAGAGCTAAAGAGCCAATAGCTAGGCAGGAGGTGTAGGCAGGACTTCCAGGCAGAGAGGGGAAGTGGGAAGAGATGATCGAGGTGCAGAGGAGATGCCAACAAGACACAAGAGGGAGTCAGACATACAGAATGAAAGAAAAATAAAAGGTAATCTACATAGTAAAATTAATAAAATGGGTTCATTTAAATTATAAGAGCTGGTTAGGAACAAACCTAAGCTATAGACTGAGCTTTCATAATTAATAAGAAGTTTCCATGTCATTATTTGGGACTGGATGGACAGAGAATGACTCGTTTCAGTGATAAGAACAGAGAGAAGAGTATCTGCAAATATCCCAGGAATTAAAACCAGGAGGCAGTTCCAGCTGTGCCAGGAGTGATGGCAGTGGTATGCAAATCATGCCACACAATATATGAATGTTTGCTTTGGGTTTCGTCGTTGTCGTTCTTTTGTTCGTTTTTGTTTGGGGGATTGTTTTGTTTCTTGTTTGTTTGTTTTTCTTTTCTTTTGTTTTTTTGAGACAAGGTTTCACTGTGTACCTTTGGAGCCTGTCCTTGGAATTTGCTCTGTAGACCAGGCTGGCCTCGAACTCACAGATATCTGCCTGTCTCTGCTTCCCAGGTGCTGGGATTATAGACGTGCGCTACCATTACCTGGCAGTTGTTTTGTTTCTGACAGGTGAAAACCCAGTCCTTCACAGGAACACAGAATGCTTTCTGGAATTCTAGGAAATCCTTTGGCAAATGTCACATCTTATCAGGAGTGTCCACAGAGCCTGCTTAGAGACAAACAGGGAAGTGGGCATGATCTGAGCTAGAAAGACCTGCTGTCCAGAGAGGCTGAGTAGGCTGTGTGGGTCGCGGTGGAAGAGGGCCTCCCTGAGTTTGACACCTCCCACCATGTGTCCCCAACGTGACCTGGACCTTCAGCTCTTGATGAGTCTGAAAACTACAAGAATAAGTCAGTAGCAAAAATCAACTATTAAACTCCCAAGAAATGTTGTCCCATGTTCTAGACCTGTGCCCCCAGATTTCACACAGGGACTGCTGGATGAGATCACTCTTGTCCCTAGTGGTAGCATGCTCCCCAAAAGCTTCTTCAGTGAGACTGCACTTGTCTCTCCTGATGCTAAAAACAAGGTGAAGTCAGCGCTGGAAACTGCTCTGTTGTACTTTTCTTACCAGGAAGCAGGGTTTTCCCAGCGTGATGGCACACACCTTTAACCCCAGTGCAAGGGAGTCAGAGGCAGGAGGATCTCTCTGAGTTTGACCTCAACAGGGTCTACATAGTGAGTTCCAGGTCAACTAGAATCACATGGTAAAAGCCTGTCTCAGAAAGAAAAAGGGAGTGGTGTTGATGAGGAAGAAAGGAAGGAACAAGCAAACAAAGAAAAAGGAAAGGAGGGAGGGAGGAAAGAAAGAGAGAGAGAGAATGAATAAACATTAGCTAAAAATCTGCTCCATGGAATTTTAAGACTCTTCCAGACACATAGTCTAGTAGATGTATTTTTAGTTACTTATTGGGTTTTGGTTGGTCGGATGTTTGGTGGGTTGCTTTGGTTTGTTGCGATACAGTCCCAACCTTGTAGTCCAGGCTAGCCTTGATCTTCCTGCCTTGGTCTCCCACATGCTCAGCCTACAGGTGTGTACCACCATGCCCAGAGATTTCTGTGTTTCACCGTTGCTGCTAAGCAAATCTAAATCAGCTCAGTGTTGCTGGACTGTACCCTCTCCAACCAGCCAATTCATTTCCAGTATTCAGTAACTGCCCCACAGTGTTAGGTGGGGACTGGGTGATGAGGGGAGGATAGATCACACTCTTCTGCTGGAAATGGGCTTGGTAAGAAGTGTGGAAGGCTAGGTTTGAAGAATTGAGTTCAGCTTTGGTTCCGGCTCTGGACTACAGATCATGATGACACCCCCCCCCCCCCCCCAAGTCACAAGCATAAACACTAACAGGATGGCTGTGCCGGGAGCAGAACCTCAGGGCTAAGAGGTTCCAAACTGAACATGAAACACCCAGAAACAGTGTCGAGGGAGCCTCATGGTGGGTTCTGAGGTACAGGAAGCCAGGCCTGTAGCCAAAGGGAGAGGGAGGACAGGGAAGGGTAAGGAAGGAATTAATTTATGGCTTTGGAACCAGTCCTGTGGCCAGAATGACTAACAAGAAGAAGCTAGAAGTTTAATATAATACCCTTTTATTATCAGCTAAACTTGAGACATAGACTGCAAAGGGTTAATACATAATGGCCTCCAGCAACATCAGCTTGAGATTTTGACAGGTGCTATGTTATGTAAGATGTTATCATTGCTGGTAGCTGGTTGAATGGAACATGAGAAACGTACTATTTTTGTTAACTTCTCATGAGTCGAAATATTCCCTATTTTGTGCCACGGGCTCCTGGCTTCCCCTGAGCAGAGCCCCTCACTGTCCTAGAAGGGGCGTGGCTTTCCCTTCATTCCAGAGTCTGCTCTTGCCTCGGTCTCCAAAGAGCTAGGGTCTCAGGCTGAACTGTGGCTGCTCGCAGGGCCTGAGGTACAGAGATAATTGACAGGGCCCTGAGGCAACGAAGCTAGGCTCTGAAAGAACTGAGGGGTGGCACTAGCTTCCCCTTGAACCATGGTGCTGAGCAGCTGAGACCTGGAAGTCTCCAGAATGTGGGCATTCCAGGAGCCCATATGTGTCCCTTCCCATCATACCTCGTGGCTACAACCACTAACTAGGCTTCTGCCTTCTTTTCTTTTTTTTCCAGGATGCTTCCATTGCCCACAGATTCCACATGATGAGAGAGAAACACCCTGAAAAATTCAACAGCAGGTAAGCGAGCTTGCTAGCTGCTGCAGTGGGCACCCCGCCCGCCCGGCACTGCCAGCCAGCGCAGCCTCCCACCTGCTACCACGGAAATGTCCTTGGCCTGGGTCGCCCGGGGACTTAGCTTTGCTGCCACGTTGCCGGAAGAAGGGTTTCCATTCCTAAGAAGAAAAAAATGTCTGAAACCTACCGCGGCCTGGCTGCCAATCCCCTCCCGTAGGAACGGAGCAGGGGGAGGCGTCTGGGGACGGCATGGGTGGCAAGGAGCATGCCCTTGGCCACCTAGAACCCCACCAGGGACTCAGAGGTTTTCCCCAAAAGCCCAGCTTCCCGCAGCAGCCCGGGCTTGGGGAGAAAAGGGTTCTGCTGGGGTCTCAGATCCGGGGAGGTGCCAGCCTCCCTCCAGGACAGCAGAGGGCAGCAACGAGGCAGTAACCCCGAAGGGCACCCGGTGGCCTCGAATGGGCACTGGCATGCCTGGAGATTAGTTTCAAACATGAAAGAAAAGGGAAAACCAGATGAGTTGCAAGCGAACCCAAACCTGTCTTGCAAAGCGAATGGAATTTACCAGAACCAAGATGTGACTGGCATATAATCACCGCGGAGCTGACCACTTCTCTTTTCTCTCTCTTCCTGGCAAAGCCCATCCAACTCCATCCTCTGTTGTACTATTTCAAGATCATGATTGGATTCCAGGCCTAGCCTCAGGCAGATGGGGAACAGGGGGCTAATAATTTGGACTTGATCTTTGAGCATAAAGGGTTGGCCATGTATTTAGCCCACAGAATTCTACTCAAAGCAGAAGTTAATAGTGTTGCTTGAGGACATCCACTTACAGCCCAGCTCCTGGCTCTACAGCCTGGGAGCTTCACCAGGGAGAGTCTGGACACAACGAAGTAATGTCAAACTGGGAACCAGACAGCAGCGGGACTTCTTCAAGGTTTCATTCTGTCTCACTTAGACCCAGGGTCCACAGCTCAGTACAGACACGTGCTCCCAGCCCCAGTCACAAACTGGCAATACCACCCCTTCCCTCAGCCTTCGTCACCCCTGTTCGAGGACACAATCACTATTCTTAAACTGTTATATGTATTTTATTAAACTATGTACATTTAAGAGTCCTATTTACACTGGAAAAGTGGGCAAACTTTAAGATATTTTTTTAAGCCAAATACAAATCTATTGAAGAGAAGAAAAGATGCCAGGCACAAAACCCAAGTTCTGTTATGCCCAAAGCTTGTGGTCGTTGCTATTGTGGCTGAAACTGACAAGACCTGGTCCAGGCTGAGATGGCGCTCTGAACCTGCCTGTGGAGTAGGCACAGGTGTAAGGGGCTGGTGTAGGTGCCAGAGGGATCCTTTCTCTCCCTCAGCGAGGCTGCGAATTTCTGAGAGTCCAGATTCCTCACGCTAGGTCAGTTTACATGCCCATTTTTAAGCTTCTCTTATCCTTCAAGTCTTTTTCAGAGGTGGCCCCAAGCTCTACTTCTGGGTTGGACAGGATGTAGGTGGTGGGTGGCCTTTTTGAGGGTAACTACTTTGGGGGCTTTTTCATTGTGTTCCATCTCGGGGATCTGGTCACACAGGACAAAACTTCTGTCTCAGCTCATTTGTTTCTTGATGTTCTAAGATGTTGTCTGTCCACCTCTCCACATTCCCCTGTATCTAAGGACCCGGGCTGGCATGTTGTCATGGTTACTGATTCGTTTCAGACGCGACCGGGGCCGAGCGTAGTCTTTCCGTGTAGACGTGGCAGTCATTCGTGAACGGATGGCCCCCTCTTGATAACCCACATGGGCTGTAGGGAAGTGTGCTATGGCCAATTCAGAAGAGGACTCTGATTTGGACCTCTTGGCAGGAGACCGCCTCTTCTTTCCCACATAAACCGTATTGGTCTCATCCTCATCCTCTTGTTCTTCCTCTCCAAAAGGAGTCAAACCCATCCCCTCTCTTCTCCCAGAAAGGCAGATGCTCATCCCAGCAGAATGGCAGCCTCGAGACAGCTTTTGAAAATCACTCCTGCCTGTCCTACAGACTTTCAAGGTCTTCTTTACACACGTACTTTACACACATACAAGTACTCCATGGATGTGTCTGGAAAATGCCGTACGCCTGTGAAAGCCATGGCTTCTGCTCATCCACTCATCCATTCTTTCACTGACTCACTCACTAGCAACATCCTTTGAAGATATGCTGCTGCCCACGCACCATGTATCTAGGGGTCTGGAACAGACGGCCCATAGCTCACCGCCCCCTGCTGGAAACCGGCTGGAAAGCAAGCACGCATACCTGTGTGCGGGGAGTGCTGTGAGCAGAGGTGGCCTAAGAGAACCCAAAGGCAAGAGCAGAGAGCTGGGCATGGAGGATTTCCCAGGGACAAAGATGCCCCGCCCAGGTTAAAGAAATCCAGATTGGTTTTTACAACTTGGTAAAAAGAGAAGGGCAATCCCCAGAGTTGGAAAGAGATGGAAGGGAAGCTCGAGAGTGAGAGCCCAGTGTGCTGGGGAAGAAGCAGCCCTCGGTGCCGCTGAAAGGAAGGTGTCTGTCCCTGTTAGAGAATGAGGAAGTAGAAGACAAACTTTATCCTCATCCCCAAAACTGAGACCAAGCAACATGTGTGCTCTGTCAAAATAAAATTATTAAGTCCAATTAGAAAGATCAGTCATGGCGGGGGGTTAGGGGGGTCATAACGTGCACCCAAGTGTCAAGTATGGAGGAACTCATCATGACCTATAGAATTTTCTCTCTTCTTCCTTCCCAAATCCCCTTTTCAGGACAACTCCTAGATTTGGTGGGGCTCAAGCCTCATGTTTTACCTGGCAGAGATGACAGGTTTATGGATTTGAATTTAAGCCTGCGTACTTGCTGGAGAAATGAAGTTGTTCAGAGGGAGCCCCTGTTTTACAAAGTCCCCAGCCATTTCCTCTGAGGAACTTTGGGTCCATGCTGCTTCCTTCTTGCTTGCTTGCCCGTATTGAAAACACCCAGGAGTATTCAATTTGTCCACCCAGAGGCAGGCAAGCAGCCATTTTCTCCAGGCTTCCTTATTTAGCATTGGGGATGGTTTTAAATAGGCAGGTGGTTGTTGCCATGGTTACTCCCATTACACCAGCAGCTAAACTTAGGAAGGGCCACAAGGGATAGAAAAAAAAGCCTGATACCCAGGATTTGCGAATGTAAACGATATTATCAACCAAAGCTTCTTTTTACTGGGCTGAACTTGAGTTCTTCAGAGAGTGGTTGCTGCTTGGCTGTAAGCCTTTAGCATTAAAGCCTAAGACTGGCCCCTCTGGGATAACCTTAAGGCTAAATATAGGGAGTTGTAATTGGTCTGTTTGTTTTGTTTTGTTTTCAACATGAACGGGCTAGTCAGGGCTGGACTTACTGAGGAAACCTGAACTTGCACATTGCTGGTCTGCTTGGGGGCTGTTCTAGTTAATTCTCAACCCAGGGCTCCAAAGGCCACAGCGGTTCTGAGAACATGAAGTTGTACCAAAAATAGTGTGTGTGTGTGTGTGTGTGTGTGTGTGTGTGTGTGTGTGTGTATCTGTGTGTCTGTGTGTGTATCTGTGTGTGTCTGTGTCTGTGTGTGTCTGTGTGTGTGTGTCAGTGTGTGTGTGTGTGTCTGTGTCTGTGTGTGTGTGGCATTCCAAGGCCTGTGAATCCTAAGAGGCATCAAATTATGACTCAATTATTGGGGTTTCTTAATTCTTCCCCCGGTGATCTCGCTATACTGGCTGTTGCCAGGGGAAGTAGTAGTTTTAAGAAGCCAAGTGTTCTCTCCAGTGGGATAACTTCGTTAATGGGAGAAAAGGAGGTGGTGGTATGAGGTGGTACCTCAGCTAAGTTAGGCCCCTTCTACCACCTAGTTATTGACACGTTAACTCTTTGTTCCTGATTTAGCAATGTTATGAAAATTACCATCTCTGTCAGTATAAAGGATGCAGAGTTTTAACTCTACTGAAATTCTAATCTGTTAGAAATCACTCAGGTGTAAGTGAGACATGGTCACTGCCTTTAAGAAATGCATACTCTAGCCAGGGATGGTGGTGCACGCCTTTAATCCCACACTGGGGAGGCAAAGGCATGTGGGTCTCTGTGAGTTTGAAGCCTGCCTGTTATATGAGTTCCAGAAAAGCCAGGGTTCTGTAAAATAAAAGGAAAAAATGGGAAATAATCCTCAAATTCTTTTATGAAATTGTTTTTATACAAAAGGAATTTACATTTAGTAACCCATTGGAAATACAGGCAGCAGTCAGCTTATTAGAACAGTTTAACGTGACTCTTCAAAGCCCAGCCATAAGCAAGCTGTAGTTTGAGTATGGACCCCAAAACTAAGATAACCAAACTAAGAACTGTAATTCACTTTGAGATCCTATTAGATGCCAAGCAGTTAACTAAATATTTTATAATAATTAAACTATTTAACTCTCAAGACGACCTTACAACATAAGTCTTGGCATTCTTGAATCGTGACTATGTGGGACGAGGAAACAGCCTGGAAGAAAGCAGTAGACTATCTTTTAATCAGTGAGCTTGATTTGATTTCTAAGCTACCTCTAAACTCCAGCGTGCAAGCCCCTCTGTCTCTCCTAGGGCTCATTCGTATAGATGAGTGTTCCAGTGCTCCCAAGGCCTCCGCCTAGGTGCGTGTTCTTTATAACATACAACATGAGGAGCGCACTTGCTCCCATTCTTGTTGACTTAGGAAAGGAGTATCACCCCTTTTTATCTTGTACAACCTAAGTCTTCTCCTTATTCCACTGTCCACAGCAAGGAGCAAGACTGGCTATGGGATTTGTATGACCCTGGGCAAATTAAAACACAGTCCCTTGTTGAAACATCTCTTAAGTTTGTGAGCAAGCAGTAAACTAAGCCAAAAAGCCCTCCTACGCACCGGGCCTGGAATGACTGCACAGATATCATACCTATGAGGTGGCCATGGCAAGAGGTGAATTCATTAACAGGCACATTTGTCCAGATCACGGAGTAGACAGTTTGCAAAAG